ACTCTGCCCATCTGGGGATTGAAACCAGGAGCAGAGAAGTGGGTCAGAAAGACAGTACACATCCAGAGAGTCAGGGTAAGTTTCTGGCTGAGGGGAAGTAGGTAGAATAGAAAGCACAGACTTTGAGATAGATCAGAGAGGCTTTTCAACAGTTGGGAGACAAGTGTAGGGGGATCTGGGAGGGTTTCTGGCAGGTAGGTGGGTAGGTAGATGAAGGAGGAAGCCTACACCAGGTGTGTGATGTGTGAGGGTTTCTGCAAGCCGGGAAGTGGATCACATAGGAAGTGCATATCTAGGACTCTCAGAATGTTTTCTGGCAATCACATAGGCAGTACTTGGAGGGAAAGGCACGGGTGGATCACTCCATAATTGCCATATTCTGTACACTTCCTGGAAGCCGTACTCACTGTCAGAGACAGGATGCTGGGCTAATTGGACCACTGGTCTGACCCAGTATGGCAGCTCTTATTGTCTAGTTCTCATGATCTGTGCACAAACAGTGGGAATTGGGGAGGGCTTCCAACAGCAGGGAGGTTGACTTGGGGAAAAGATTTGGGCTTTGCCATTGCACTAGTAATAAATTGCAACCAAAAAGAGCTCAGTTCTGGACTTTGAAGGTGTAAAGGAACATTATTAGGTTATAAATCACAGCATCATTACCAACCAGTTCACTGACTGGATTATTAACCTACCATTTTGCAGAGCTTCTGTACAATTTCCAGTGCCACTGGACTATAAGTAACATGCCCTGTTATTGTAACAGTGTTGGTCCCAGGATATTAGAGAGACAAGTTCTGTGAGGTAATATCTTTTATGGGACCAACTTCTGTTGATGAGAGAAACAAGCTTTTGAGTTTACACAGTGCTCTTCTTCAGACCTGAAGAAGTAACATGTCCTGGATGCCATTATTTCACAGTGCGGTGTTGAATAGGTATTCCAGGGGTGTGGAGATGAAACAGATGCATGCCTCAGACCAAGGTTTTTTGGTCAGACTGGATCATTTGTTCTTTTTTTTTTTTTCCATCAATAAATACAAGTATTTTTAATTTCCCAGATTGTACCTCCTCTTTGATCATTCTTCTTGTTGTTATCGTTGGCTGCCAATTTATTGCTGTTTTATTGCTATTACGTTATTTTGTTTATAATTAGTTGGCAAGGTGCTTAGAAAATGAGAATAACTGTCTTTAATCCTTAAACACATGACAGTCATAGAATATCAGGGTTGGAAGGGACCTCAGGAGGTCATCTAGTCCAACCCCCTGCTCAGAGCAGGACCAATCCCCAATTAAATCATCCCAGCCAGGGCTTTGTCAAGCCTGACCTTAAAAACTTCTAAGGAAGGAGATTCTACCACCTCCCTAGGTAACGCATTCCAGTGTTTCACCACCCTCCTAGTGAAAAATTTTTTCCTAATATCCAACCTAAACCTCCCTCACTGCAACTTGAGACCATTATTCCTTGTCCTGTCCTCTTCTACCACTGAGAATAGTCTAGAACCATCCTCTCTGGAACCACCTCTCAGGTAGTTGAAAGCAGCTATCAAATCCCCCCTCATTCTTCTCTTCTGCAGACTAAACAATCCCAGTTCCCTCAGCCTCTCCTCATAAGTCATGTGTTCCAGACCCCTAATCATTTTTGTTGCCCTTCGCTGGACTCTCTCCAATTTATCCACATCCTTCTTGTAGTGTGGGGCCCAAAACTGGACACAGTACTCCAGATGAGGCCTCACCAATGTTGAATAGAGAGGGACGATCACGTCCCTCGATCTGCTCGCTATGCCCCTACTTATACATCCCAAAATGCCATTGGCCTTCTTGGCAACAAGGGCACACTGCTGACTCATATCCTGCTTCTCGTCCACTGTCACCCTAGGTCCTTTTCCGCAGAACTGCTGCCTAGCCATTCGGTCCCTAGTCTGTAGCGGTGCATTGGGTTCTTCCGTCCTAAGTGCAGGACCCTGCACTTATCCTTATTGAACCTCATCAGATTTCTTTTGGCCCAATCCTCCAATTTGTCTAGGGCCCTCTGTATCCTATCCCTGCCCTCCAGCATATCTACCACTCCTCCTAGTTTATTATCATCCGCAAATTTGCTGAGAGTGCAATCCACACCATCTTCCAGATCATTTATGAAGATATTGAACAAAACCGGCCCCAGGACCGACCCCTGGGGCACTCCACTTGACACCGGCTGCCAACTAGACATGGAGCCATTGATCACTACCCGTTGAGCCCAACAATCTAGCCAACTTTCTACCCACCTTATAGTGTATTCATCCAGCCCATACTTCTTTAACTTGCTGACAAGAATACTGTGGGAGACCGTGTCAAAAGCTTTGCTAAAGTCAAGAAACAACACATCCACTGCTTTCCCTTCATCCACAGAACCAGTAATCTCATCATAGAAGGCGATTAGATTAGTCAGGCATGACCTTCCCTTGGTGAATCCATGCTGACTGTTCCTGATCACTTTCCTCTCATGAAAGTGCTTCAGGATTGATTCTTTGAGGACCTGCTCCATGATTTTTCCAGGGACTGAGGTGAGGCTGACTGGCCTGTAGTTCCCAGAATCCTCCTTCTTCCCTTTTTTAAAGATTGGCACTACATTAGCCTTTTTCCAGTCATCCGGGACTTCCCCCGTTCGCCACGAGTTTTCAAAGATAATGGCCAATGGCTCTGCAATCACAGCCGCCAATTCCTTCAGCACTCTCGGATGCAACTCGTCCGGCCCCATGGACTTGTGCACGTCCAGCTTTTCTAAATAGTCCCTAACCACCTCTATCTCCACAGAGGGCTGGCCATCTCTTCCCCATTTTGTGATGCCCAGCGCAGCAGTCTGGGAGCCGACCTTGTTAGTGAAGACAGAGGCAAAAAAAGCATTGAGTACATTAGCTTTTTCCACATCCTCTGTCACTAGGTTGCCTCCCTCATTCAGTAAGGGGCCCACACTTTCCTTGGCTTTCTTCTTGTTGCCAACATACCTGAAGAAACCCTTCTTGTTACTCTTGACATCTCTTGCTAGCTGCAGCTCCAGGTGCGATTTGGCCCTCCTGATTTCATTCCTACATGCCCAAGCACTATTTTTATACTCTTCCCTGGTCATATGTCCAACCTTCCACTTCTTGTAAGCTTCTTTTTTATGTTTAAGATCCACTAGGATTTCACCGTTAAGCCAAGCTGGTCGCCTGCCATATTTACTATTCTTTCGACTCATCGGGATGGTTTGTCCCTGTAACCTCAACAGGGATTCCTTGAAACACAGTCAGCTCTCCTGGACTCCTTTCCCCTTCATGTTAGTCCCCCAGGGGATCCTACCCATCCGTTCCCTGAGGGAGTCGAAGTCTGCTTTCCTGAAGTCCAGGGTCCGTATCCTGCTGCTTACCTTTCTTCCCTGTGTCAGGATCCTGAACTCAACCAACTCATGGTCACTGCCTCCCAGATTCCCATCCACTTTTGCTTCCCCAACTAATTCTTCCCAGTTTGTGAGCAGCAGGTCAAGAAAAGCTCCCCCCTAGTTGGCTCCTCTAGCACTTGCACCAGGAAATTGTCCCCTACATTTTCCAAAAACTTCCTGGATTGTCTATGCACCGCTGTATTGCTCTCCCAGCAGATGTCAGGAAAATTAAAGTCACCCATGAGAACCAGGGCATGCGATCTAGTAGCTTCCACGAGTTGCCGGAAGAAAGCCTCATCCACCTCATCCCACTGGTCTGGTGGTCTATAGCAGACTCGCACCACTACATCACTCTTGTTGCTTACACTTCTAAACTTAATCCAGAGACACTCAGGTTTTTCTGCAGTTTCGTACCGGAGCTCTGAGCAGTCATACTGCTCCCTTACATACAGTGCTACTCCCCCACCTTTTCTGCCCTGCCTGTCCTTCCTGAACAGTTTATAACCATCTACGACAGTACTCCAGTCATGTGAGTTATCCCACCAAGTCTCTGTTATTCCAATCACGTCATAATTCCTTGACATCACCAGGACCTCCAGTTCTCCCTGCTTGTTTCCAAGGCTTTGTGCATTTGTATATAAGCACTTGAGATAACCTAACTTGAGATAACCTTGAGATAACAGTCTTGGTCTCTACTCAGAAGAAGTCACTTCCATCCCACTGGATGCAGTCTCTGTCCAATTTTTCCATTCAGATTGAAATTTGTGGGCCAGTCCCAAGTTTCACAGGGCTTAGTCTCCTGCATCCAGCCTATGAGACAGTTAGGGCCTCCTGCATTTCAGATGTGTTGCTACACCATCCCTGAATGATGACTCATTTCTGTGTCCAGGGGTCCTGAAACAATTTTTACAGTGGGGGTGCTGATGGCGGAAACCATGTATTTGGGTTTATTACTACTTAAAGCCAGGGGGTGTGGCAGCACCCCTAGTTCCAGCCCCTATGCCGGTGTCCTTCTTATGCTGACATGGCACCTTGCAGAATCCTAACAAAACAGCTTCCTTCTGCTAGGGTGTGGCCTGTTGATGCAGTGGTCGCGATTTGAAGACTGTGGCATCATCATGCAGCCTTGGCAACAGCCTCGCCCCGCGGGTGGTGATGTGAGGATTGTGCCAGCACCAGGCAGTGGCAGAGCGGGTTGTGACATCATACACTGGGCATCACATCAGCCTCACCACATCATCCCACAGGCCAGTGTGAGGCTAGTGAACTGTCCTCGCACCACATGCCAGGACAACACCGCACTTCCCGGGCCATTTGGACAGACCGGGACAAATTAAACTTGGTTGGAGGGAGCCACTGCTCCAATGGTCTTGGTTCAGCAGACAACGCTCTTCCGGTTGGGCTGACAGAACTTCCGGTTGCATAACGGCTTAGAAACCGGAACTTCCGGTCCCGTAACGGTCAGTCATGGCGGGATCCTTAGAAGTCGTGTGACCCGGGCTCTGCCTCCCCAAGAATCTTCCCAGCGAGGGGCGGGGCTCGGAGCCTCCCGGTTACTAGGCAACGACCCCTCCGTGACTAAACGATTCCTGAGCAGCCGGCTACTCGGCGCTCGATTAGCCAGACCTGGAGGGGGCGCGGCGCTGGCGGGGGGGGGGGTCCTCGCGCCGGAGGCCTCCCTCAGAGCCGGGCTGAGTCTGAAGGGCTGGGACCCGGCTCAGGGGCTGAGCCCCCTGGGCTCGCTCCGGCCGGGAGCCCCGCGGGCCCCTGTGTGACCCTGGGCGAGTCGCTTCCCGCCCTGCCAGTCCCGACACGGTCAGCGCGGGTCCGCCAGGCTGCCGAGCCCGAGCCCGCCGAGCCCGGGGCTGTTCGCTTATCTCGCTGGCGACGGGGTTAAGCCCAGCCCCGCAGTGCCGCTCTCGGGCCGCGGCAAGAGGGGGCCCGGGGTGCGGGCTCGCCTCAGGAGGAGGGCCGGGGTACGAGCCGCGGGAGGGGGAGCTGTCTACGGGAACAGCCCGGACGCGCGTGGGGACGCCCGGCCCGGCCCGGCCCGGGAGTGTCCCATTGCTCCCAGTGGCCTGATCCGACCCTCCGGCGTGCAGCGGTTTCCAGGCGCGGGCCCTGGGGCAGGAAAGCCTTTCCGGGGGGGCTGTGTCGCCGTGGCTGGCGTTCGGTAGCGTGGTCCCTCCGGCCGGCCGGCGTTTGAGGAGCCGCGAAAGGGCCTAGCAGGGTAGGAGCCGACCGCAAGTCCAACAAACCTCCGTAAGGCTTAAGCAAGTAGAAGTGATGGCTTGTCAGTGCCATGCAAAACTGCAGGTGTCATCAGGCTTTAAACAGAGCTTGGTGCAACTCTTCCTTTCCCTTCCTTGTATTAAAAGGGACCCGAAATGTTGTTTGTTTGTTTTTTAAATCTAGAATATCTGTAGATTTTTTTTCAAATGACAGATTAGTACTGTTACTTACATGGTGATATCACCCATAGATCCCAGTCGGGGCTCCATTGTGCTAGGCGTTATATAAACACATAACAAAAAGATGTTCCAGCCCCCAATAACTTACAGTCCCAAGTAAAAGACAAGCGACAACAGGTGGATACAACAAATAAACAGAACACAAGGTAAGAGTGATAAATGCAGATGAGTACATTTTAAACCAAAGATGAAAATCAATGCATTTGTCTAGACTTCAGGGTTCTGAGTTTCCCCACGTTTATTACAGTAGCATCCGTTGGCCCCAGTCTGCATTGAGCCCTGTTATGCTGGGCTGGGTGTAAATACAAACGGATTACTGCCCTAAAGGGGCTGAAGCCAGTTATGGCTCCTGTTTTGGCTGTATACGCTTCTAAAATGCTTCATGCACACTATTTGAGCTCTATAGAAATACGTAAGTAATGTTTTGAACTAGATTCTTTGCCCCAGTCTGTGCCTTGCCAGAGTATTTGTGGAGATTTCCAGGACTTCTTTCCATCAGAATTGGTTACTATTTATAAATGTTTTGATAAATATTGTGCAGCATTTCTAATCCTAGATACCAGCGCATAGAGGCTAGGTACACTCAGCAATAGGCAGCGCCAATAAGCTGCTTTTTTTTGTTGCAGGACTCAGGATGGACTTTTTGGCTCTCTTCATAATTTATCTGCTGTTAGTTCTGGCTAGTGTTGTTCTAGTCTGCATCTATTCAGGAAGGAAACAGAGTTTTCCTGCAAGAGGCCTCAGTTGCATAACTCAGGTAAGGAGTCTAACATTGGTCATATTCATGTCATGTTATGGTCATGTCTCCCCAGTTTTGAGTATGGGTACAAACTGAGCCTCCGGTTTTCAGCTTTGTCTCTCTGACTGGCTGGCTGTGTTAGGCACCACACTTAAATTTCTCAAAAAGAAAAGGAGTACTTGTGGCACCTTAGAACCTTAGAGACTAACAAATTTATTTGAGCATAAGCTTTTGTGAGCTACAGCTCATTTCATCGGATGCTTTCAGTGAATGCATCCAGTGAAGTGAGCTGTAGCTCATGAAAGTTTGTGCTCAAATAAATTTGTTACTCTCTAAGGTGCCACAAGTACTCCTTTTCTTTTTGCGAATACAGACTAACACGGCTGCTACTCTGAAACTTAAATTTCTGAAAAGGGTCATAATTTGTATGGATTTAAGCATGTTTCTTGCAACACCTATGTATATCCCATAATGCTCTGAAAACAGAAAAGAGCCTGCTCCTTATTTGTTCGGGGGGCGATCCTGGCCCATCCTCTGCTGGTTGTGGGCCCGCTCTTAGCAGAACTGGTGTGGTTTTCTTGAGCAATGATGATGTAAGGAGGCCCACTGATAGGTGGCAGAGTCCTGGGGGCGGGGGCAGAAAGAGGCTGGAGATGTGGGGGAAGAACAAGGGAAAATTGCCTGCTAGTGGATCCTCCAGCTGTCTTCTGCATGAAGAGAGTGGGGGGGCACTGGGATAGAGCCTATTCCATATAACCACGTCTGTATTCCTTGGTATGTTGATTTTTTTCAAGGAATTTTGGTAGCAATTCAATGGTTTTGAGACCTACTATGGACATTTCCATTATGCCGTATGCCGTACCCCTCTAATTAGATGCAAGCCGGGATCAGGAATGAGATACAGTGTCTTTCATCTGTCAGTCATCCTGCACACAGTGATGCACAAAGCTAGTAGCCCAGCTGGTGGTGACAAAAAGTCTAAATGACCTATCTGAAATGAGGTCACTCTACATGCCATCTGTGAACTGGAATCAGTCTCAGCAGACACACTGAAATCTGAGTGGGCCATGGAGACTGAATTCCCCCCTCTCTTTGTCTTGGGGTTCCTCTGCTTCAGGGTGAGGCACACTGACTGGGAGGCTTGTGTTACAGCAACTGTGCTGAACCTGCTCAGTAGATAAATGAAAGGTTTCCAGGGTTCTGAACCCACCACAAAATGTAGTTGAAACCAATGTTGTTGCTTTGTTCTTACCCCATACAATGGAATAACCATTGTATGGGGTAAGAACAGAACTTGCTGTTCTGTAATATAAAAATTACACTTGGTCAATAGCACTGCAAAATAATTCTTAAAAAAAAAAAAAAAACACACACACAGCAAGAAACCTGACTTGTCATACATTTACAATATTTGTAGTTCACATGAAAATAATTGAAGGGCTGTTTTAGTTGAGAGAATATAGCAAATGGGTCATACACAACTGCAATTTTAATAAAAAAAATACTTCAGAAATGCTACTCGGTATTATGTATGCAATGTTATTTGCTAGAATATGCTAACGAATAAGGAGAATGAAGACCTTTAGCTATATGAGGCATTTTTCTTTAAAAGGGGATTTAAAAAAATCATGAGTGTTGCAAATAAATCAGAACAAGAATAAAAAAAATATTCCTCTCAAATCTGTCTAAATGAAAAGAAATAGCCCAGTACTATAAGCAGGGAAAGGAGAATGAAAAATCCGAAAAGTCAGTGAAGTAACTAGATACATTTAACATTAGTTACATGATTATGAACAGTTTTTGACTTTTATTATTGTACTTTGCCAGTAAAGGGAGCTGGGCAAATTGTTGATTGTATTTCTTCGTTACTTAAAATGTGTATCGCAGTGCTGTTTATGCAACAAACTAAATATTACAAATACCATTTGTGATGTAAAAGAAGTACTCACATTTCACCAAAGAAATAAAATGTTAAAATATCAAACTTAAACAATTGCAGGGTAACTTTAAAGGGGTTTTTATGTATAAACTGTATCTTTAAAAAAATTGGTTGGTTTCTGACTGTAGTCCAAAATGCATAAACCCACCGGTTTGTTGAAGGTGTGACTGGTTGCATTATTTTAAGCACCTCAGATGTAGATTTTGAACAATATAAAATGACTTACTTACACACACCATAGCTGTTTCTAGCTCTCTGGCAGGTCAGCGTCCATCCCACTGTTCTTTTTTTCATGCTGCCAGTATTCATTGGAGCAAAATGGTTGGCGTCTGTATGCAGTTCTTTCCACATTCATATCATCTTGCTTCCATAACACCGAAAGGCAACATTTTTAAGAGCCTTTTTGCTTTGGTTTAATTTGAATGCTGTTTACTTCAGTGGTGTGCGGGGGGAGCCCTCTGAAACACACAAGCTTCTTATGCCACCTTAATTTTTACATAAGGGGGGAAATGGGGTGTTTACTTCTGTCTTCTCTTGGATGCAATGATAGTTAGAGGATAGTAAACATATTTTCATACAGTTAATTTAAAGTCAGATTCTGAAAGTTGCATAAGAGGGTTGTTTTTATATCTATTTTCTAATGCCTCTCTAACAGCAGCATATAGCCTCCTGTTTTTTAAAAATTTTCCATGAACTATCTTGTAGTATGAGGCAGACTTGTTAAAAGTGGAATACTTACCAACCCTCCCAAACCTGCCTGACTCGTCTGGCTTGTGATCTTGTCACATCTAAGATAAAAGGCCTTAGTGCAATTTTTTCCCCCCACATATTGCAATTTTGCTTTGCTGCTGCGCTTTTTGCACCATTGGTGGAGAGGTGTGTTGCTATAGAGATAAATCATCTTCTCCCTGGCAGACAGAGACTGCACAGCACTGAGTGTGCTCAGCGTGTCACTGAATGAGAACAGACAGGTTTTTTCCTTAATTGTTTATGGCTGTTTTTGAATTGACAATTAGAAAAACATGAAGCTATCAATCTGTATATTCTCAGCATCACACCTTTCCTGGTCGCTTCTTGACTTTCGTTATAACCCTTTGGTTTCATTCACTCAACTCTATGAAAGTTCTTATTTTGGGCTAAAACTTTCCATGCTTATTCTCAGCCTAAAGGTGCTCTTTCCTTTTACACAAAACAGAACACCTTTTAAGGTTTTTTTAAATCACAAATAACTCAAACAGCTGATCTTTAAAATTTCCCAGAATTGGTAAGATCTGGGGTGAAAAAACAACTTAGTTAGATGCTTCTGAACACCCCATCACCATCTTTAGGTGCCTAAATACCTTTAAAAAACTGGCCCTCTGTGCATCAGTTCTCTCCTCTCCCCCCCCCCTCCCCCGGTAAAGTGGATATAACAGTATCCACCTCAGAGGAATTAGGAGACTTTAGTGGACTAATGTTTGTAATGTACTTTGAAATCCTCAGATGGAAGGTGCTATAGAAATATCATTTTTGTTTGAATTTTTCACCACAAAGAGGGAAAAGTGATGTGCAATTCAGATTGGTATCTTCATTTGCTCCAGGTATCTTCATTTGTAATCCCAACATGGCTTCAAAGAGCAGCACAGAGGGTGCTTCACAGGCTCTTCCACACACGGTACCATACTTCTTTTTTCTTTGACATCCTTTTCCTGAACTGTTTCTGATCATTATTGGTGGCAGCCTCCCACTGGTGCCAACAAAGCTGTGAGAGATTGCTCTTAGAGGTGTTTCCCTCTTGGCCAAGGATGTTTGTCTGGGACTACAAATTCTCTTTAAAGTTAGCTGTGCTGTTCTCTCTCTCCTTTGCTTGCTGTTGAGAGAATGGATATCCAAAAGTATTTAAGCAAATTTTACATAGCATAGCTCCATAGTTCTGAAAGAGTGAACCACATGGATAGATGTTAGTCACGTCACTTAATGTATTACTGGCAGGTGCTCAGAAACTATGGTGGTAAAGGTGGTATAAGAACATAGAATAGAGCTTTTCTGTCGTTGAGAATTCAGGCTATAGTAACCCACATATTGCTAAGGCTATAAAACTGATAATACAGGTATTCATCCAAATTACTCTTGAACAGCGAAATTTAATTGATAGGCACATCTTTCCCTTAATCCATAGTAATTCCCCCACTTCATGGGTGCACTGATTTTGGGGCACAGATTCAGCAAGATGTATCTGAGTATCTAAATGCCAGGGAGATGGCACACTGACTCAGTTTAAATGGCCCACCTAATGGGATATACAGTATGATTTTAGGTGTGAATTAGTGTTTGCTATCATTAACTGTCCAGTATGCTGCTCTTTTGTTCATAGTGCTGCTTTCTTTCTCTTATGGCTGCCAAATTGGTCAATTTTACTTTAATATTTTGTTTGTTCAGTGCTTTCAAAGCAGTTCATGGGATCAAGGTGAATCTCTGTCAGCACCAAAGTGTTGTCTAAGAATCAGCCTGTTCCTGTGGCACACTTTTGTGCCCATGGGGGTCTATTTTGGTGAGATTTACTTAGAGCACCCCCTCAAAGACATAAAAATATTGGAATTATCATAAATTTTGGGAACTCCAGCCTTGAGATTTCTCCTTATTTTTAGGTAAAGCTGTGTTATTGTGGTGGGGTTTTTTTATTTAAAAAAAGAAAGAAAGGCAAGACAGCAGTTGGCTAGACTGCGTGCTATCAATAGGGAATCCCAGTTAGAGAAGTTAGTTTGACCATGAGCCCGATAGCAGCTCTTCCTGAGTATGAGAGAGCCTTTGCTGCTGAAATGTCACCTCTGAATGATGCTTATCTTGTATTTAGAGCACTGATTGTGAATTAAGCTGTCTTTTTCCCTTTTCATTACAGAAGTTGCCTGTTCGTTGTCCTGCATTTAGCCTTACAAGTGGCAGTTTATGGTGAATACACTTGGGAAGTATTTGGCTACTGCCAACAGCTAGAGTTCAGTATTCATTACCTTCTGCTGCCGTATTTGTTGTTGGCTGTGAATATGGGGTTCTTCATTCTGTGCTCTGTGACCAACCCTGGTAAGTTCATATTTGTTTTGAATTGTTGCCTTTCTTGGGCAATTGTCATTTCGCTTTTGACCTGGTGCTTTCTCCCACCACCCAAGGTATCGTGTAATTGCCCAGAAATGCTCTGTGTGTCATGCCTGATTGATAATTCGTTCCATTGGATGGTAGATAAGAAGTGGCCCCAACAAACCCCATTTCTTTAATGCTCCAAATAAGAAGTGCTGAAATAAGTGATGAACAGTTTGAAATGTACTCTCTGCACTTGCCCTGAAAAAAACAGCTGTGCATTATTTTTTTTAAATAACACTTTGCTATAATTAGCTCTTAATAAGGAAGAAAGTGGGCTAATTGCTTTTGGTGTATTTTAGTAACACTCTCCAACGCCAGGAATATTCATGTTCACCACACAGTGTATTTCTGTATAACAAGCAGATATTGTGGTTAAATCAAAGGAGTCGGGAGTCCCAACAGAAGACTGGGTTTTTATTCATGGCTCTGTCACTCACTAATTTACTTGGCAACCTTCCTCAAATCATCTCACTTTTCTGTTTGAGTACTCGATCTGCCAGTCACTGCTATATTGTTAGTTGCTGCTGTTTGTATAGATTGGCTTGGTTAGAGGAGTGAGTGAGCCGGGAAGAGGTGCATACAAAGTCACAGAGTGGTAGAGTGAAGAAAAAGTCCTGGAAGAGTTTTGAAAACCAGGAACATATTTACTGATCAGGCTTTGGAGATAAAAAGCCAGGGAAGATGATGTATTTGTAGGGCATTCATTTGCTTTCCAGAGCTCTAAAGTCATCATCGCTGTTACTTCATTGGTGAGCAAATTTTATAACGTTTGCTTTGATTTTCCTGTTTTTGGGGGTTTGTCAGGTTAGAAACTTCAGTATTCTGTGAATATATTTCTCTCTGGAAAGATGGTGCAACACCAAAAATGGGCTTCTGTACTACTATTTCCACTCACTACAGTCTTCGTAAGACTGTCGTCCCCTTTATGATTCGGACAACGCAGACAAATTCAAAGTGCAGGAGCAGCCTCACACAGTGTTAAATATTCAGCACTTCTTGATTGAGAAATTTGCTGCTGTAGTGTTGTTTCTCTTATAGGTACAATAACACAATCAAATCAGGAGTCCTTTCTAAAGGCTTATGGATACGATGGAGTAATGTTTCAGAAAAGCACCCTGTGTCCTACGTGCAACGTGGAAAAGCCAGCCAGATCTAAACACTGCAGTAAGAGTCTTTATCCTTATGCTTGTCAAGGATATTAAAAAACAATTTACACCAGATTCATTTGCTGCTGATAATTGCAATTCACCTGCATTTAACTTAGTTATCCAGTTTAATTATTGCAAAATTATTACATTATTGCTCATTTTCAGGGAGATGTCAAACCAAGTTTATTAGCAACATATTATGCTGCCTTTAAACTACTCTACTGAGAATATTATCCTGGAGACCATATCTTGGTTAGTTTCAGGGAATAAATTGCAAAGCAACCTTTTGGCCTAGCTTTCGTATTTTACTTCATACAAAGGAAACTGGCTAGTCAAGTTGGATCCTGATATGGAAAAGCTGTTGAGCATCTGAGGTGAAATTAAAAGCTTTTACCTGCCCAGGCCCAAGCTCAGGATTCTGTGTTTCTCTTGCTCTATTTGATATCCCTATCACTTTAAATGAAGCAGAGAACTGTACCCTCTACCTTCCAAATGATGCTTTAGGTAGCACTAACAGGAGAAACCTAGATCCCTGGGCTCCAGCCTTGGCTGGCAAGTAAAAGAGGAACTGTTTTGTTTTAATCCCTGTTAATATTTAAAAATTATGTTTCTCTTGCTGATTTTGTAATCTGAAACTATCTTATTTGCTTAACCCTGAAAATCCATACACAGTGGTAACAAACGAAAAGAGGATGAAACATTTCATTTACCATTAATGGTAACAAAGGTCTTTGACAAATGTTCCTTGGCTCCTCTCCTATGAGTCTTCTGGCCATAAAAGATTCCTTAAGAAGGAATCAGAAGTCTGGATATATTCCTACAAACCACACTGTATGCTCCTGTGCACTCTTCTACTAATCAAATGTCATCAGGCACGCACATGGCTATTCTCATATCTTAATGGCAAATCCTGGTCCATGTTTCTGTATTTCCTTAGTGGAAAAAAATAAACTAAGCTCCATAAAAAATCTCATTGGTCATTTAAAACCCAAATAATTGTGTTGTCTTGTGTTTAATTTTTGATCAGGTGTATGTAACAACTGTGTACATCGTTTTGATCACCACTGTGTTTGGGTCAACAACTGCATTGGTGCCTTCAATATAAGATATTTTCTTGTTTACCTCTTCACTCTGACTGCCATGGCTGCAAACCTTGCAATCATAACAGCAGCATTTCTAACCAAGGTAGTGCTGCTATCAAATATGATGCTTGGAAGTTACATTGATGATCAGGGACAAGAGCATGCAGTTGAGATTCTCTTTCTTATTCAGGTAAGCTCACTGTAATGTCTGAGTTTTAACCTACTTCTGGGTTTGTAGCCTGAAAAAAGGGGTTGTTTAAGTCTCATCTCTTAAGAATCTTGCAGTAGGTCCAGCAGTTCTGTTGTTTTGTGGGGGGAGCTAGCCATTATAGTGAACCCACTTTTCTGTTCTAATTAGAGGCATAATCATTTCCAAGGAACTTAAAAATATTTTAGAACGGCAATTTCTTCAGTTTCCAAACCAGTTATATCCAATATAAATTTTTGATCTCTCTAGAAATAACCTTATAAACATCAGTTACAGTATACACTACTAACATGTTTTAAAGTAGTTCACAACCTTCTTTACTGTTTTGAGATGTCCTTTGCAAGAGATGTTTAACTTTTATCGGCCCAGAGAGGTCTTGGTTTAAGATCTCTGGGTGTGCGCGCGCACACACGTCCTGACCAGTATTTTTGCTCACACTTAAACAAAGGTGAGGTTTTTTTTAGGTGAGTTTTTGAGTCTCTATAATTTTTTTCTGGTGGGTCTCGTGCCTCGCTCTGGAAACCTTACCCTGGCATTTTCTTTTCATTTGACACCACCAACTACTGCGATGTTCATACTCTGTTAATGTCACCATACTTCTGGCTGAGAAAGGAAGACTCACCTTTGGAGCCTGCTTAAGCATGGCTGAGTGATAGGGAGCAATCCATCTCTATCTTCCATGCCCTGAGCCAGCCAACAGCTCTGTCAGCCAACTCTCAAATCCCAAGTTAATTTCTCTGTCTAAAATGGAACCCATCACCCTAGAATTCAGATATATTAATTCATCTTTGTGTAGTATCTTCACAACCGCTCTATGTGGGATTTTAATCTGGAAAATGTCTTAACTAACACTGAATGCATCCGATGAAGTGAGCTGTAGCTCACGAAAGCTTATGCTTAAATAAATTTGTTAGTCTCTAAGGTGCCACAAGTACTTCTTTTCTTTTAACTAATACTAAAGCTGTGACCATAAATCACCAAAATCCAATAAATTCAAAAGTGAACCAGGTGTCACCATTAAGTTCTTCTATATCGGTATTTTTTATCTTTATGGTGCAGGTCACCCACACAGTCTTGTGTTCAGTCTGCAAATTCAGAAGCTTGAGTGTCCTTTCATAAACATATTCTGTGAGGAAAATAAGTTCTTGAAAATCTTTGAATTACTAAAGGCTTCATATGGGATTCACCATCTCTGAGCTGGTTATACTGTAGTTAATAGAGTGAAATCAAAATGTTTTAAAATAGGACTTTATACACTATGACTTTAAAATAAGTTACTATTTTATCTGTCTTTGCAGCACCTGTTCCTGACGTTTCCTAGAATTGTCTTCATGCTTGGTTTTGTTATTGTCCTCTCTCTGGTGCTGGGGGCATATTGCTGTTTCACTCTGTATCTGGTCCTGACTAACCAAACATCCAATGAATGGTATAAATCTAGAAGATATGAATGTTCTTGCTGTAAGGCGTTGCAGCCCCATGACAGGCATATTGTTTACAGAAATGTTTATTCTCAAGGAGTTTGGGTCAATTTAAAGGAAATCTTTAAACCTCCTACAAGTTCAGAAAAAAAGAAAAAAACATGAGGAAATAGTTACGTATTTTTTAATCTATATTTACTTTTTAAACTTTTCCTGAAGGATTTAACTCCAAGAAGAGCTTTTTGCCAGCACCAAGGACTCTTGAAATGATACTGTGCTTTTCATTAAGTGCTGTAGCTAAAGAGTTATTTTCCTAAATGACTCGATTGTAAAATATATTTTTATAAAGCTGATCATTGTCTGTGGTGTTTGCCAAACTTCTAGAATGAATGTGGTAGTTATTAACAGTGGGGACTAAGGCCGTGGCTTGTAGGCCTCTTTAGAAAATAGCTTCTTTGGATGTCGTAGCTCAAAATTTCTTAAAAGGTCTTCTATCAGTACATTATTTGGGTGACAGTATTAAAGCAAATATACTGTACTTGAATTGGCTGACCAACTTCCATGTGTGTTAAGGACTAAGTATAGTAAGCGTATTCAGCAGGAACGTCCACATCTGATATCTAATGTTTTTGTTGTAACTATGAAAATGAAGTCTTTGAGGAACTGCATGGAAGTGTTTTTTCAAATGAATGTATAAGACCTTGAAATGGCTTCTTAAGGAATCTTAAGGTGAACAGATCATGACTCTCCTAGTCTTAAATCTTACTGTTTGGCTTCATCACACCTATGCAAACGTATCCAATATTACACCACACTGTACAGCTCTTTTTGGATTTACACATTATCTAGGTCTTGCTTCCCTGGGAAGGCAGTGGCTTTTGTAGGGCTGCATTATGTAATTGTTGAGAGCAGAAATTTAGGCTGGGATCGCACTACTACTGTTTCTACCTCATCTTTGAGAGGGCTAAGAAATTATTGTATTCTGTATTTGCTTAGATGCTATCCATGACAATTATTTAATTTCATTTGATTTAATGAACTGGAAATTAATTCTCTTTACACATCACCAGTGTGGGTTTTAGAAGCAATAAGAAGCTGTGAGAATGGTCTCCTTTGGCTTACTAAGCCAAATGTTTCCCTGGCTGTACTTGTGATGGATCTGTAATTTGTAGAAAGTAGAACGTGTCCCTGTAACATTGATAAATTTTCCTAAGAGGCGTGCTGGCTTATCATGGAAGTTCTTTAGAGTGGGGGGGCCATCTTTGTGCATGTACGAGGTACCTAACTCATAACTAGGGCTCCTAGGTGCCACAGCAAAAGAAATACTAAATGGGTGACAGAGCCTTACCTCATGATGAAGAGTATGCTTGCTAAAACAGTCTTGTGAAAACTATTAATCTCTTCTTGTCAGGAAAAAGTTACATTTGCATGAATGAAAAAGTATAAATGCTGGCTATGTAATCTGCCTGTAAACATATAGAGTGAAACTACCTATTTTTTTTAAGCTACTGCTTTATGGAAAAAACAAAGATGCATCATTTCATCCAGGAAACAGTGCTATTTTGGATCTTCCCTTCAATGCTCTTTGCAATGGAAGCGCATGTGTACGTAGGAGGTGACACAGGCTGAGACTTGATGTTTCAGTGCCTCAGTTTGACACTGTGCCCTGATTTTCAGAAACTGCTGAGTTTCCATCCTCTGCAAATCAAACCCAATTATAGGTATCTTAAGTTGCACATTGAAAATTACTAGTCACTTTTGAAAACTGTGGAGATAAAATTTAGGTATGGTTGCTTTGCATATGTAAAGGTAGGACTTTCTTATAGAAAAGTGCATGCTTTTTTTTTTTAAATCTTCTGAGTCTTTGAAATTGTGGTTGCGTAGCCACCCTTACTATTGCAGAGTCCCACAATCAGTATGGGATTTGTGTTGTAAAACTTAAACCTGAATTCTGGCAGAGTTGATACATGATGTAAGCTGAGTGGATGGGCTTATATTTAATTATTCCTGAATCACTTGTCTTCATCCCAAGCTCACCATGTGTGGCAGTGAAGATGACAGGGGTGAGGTACATTAACCCAGTTTTTCCTTTTTTATCCCTGGAGCCATAATAGGTCAAATTACAGTTGGTCAGAATTGGTGCTTAGTGGTAGGGGGAAGATTGCACTGCCCTTAACTGTGCTAGGGTTATACAAAGGAATCCAGGCCCAGCTCTACAAAGTCAACTCCAATGCAGTTGTTGACCCAAACACAGTGGTTTCAATGGAAGTTAGGAGTCTAAATACCATCATGGATCTGGGCTGTAGGGGCCAGAATGTTAAGCTAATGCTTGTGAGGAGGAATGAATAAAACAGGAGGTGGCCTTCTGAAGCCCTAGTTCTGTTTGAAGCCTCACAGCCCATGAGGGATTGTGCCACACAGACTTCAGGCACTAAGTTGAAGACAAGTACAAATCACCCTCAGTGAGGATTTTTTAAAGTTGTACACTTTTGGGGGGGAAGGGAGAAGAATGTCCCCTTCTCCTTTCAGAGATTCTTCATGGTGGTTCTAGTGATCAATTCACTAGAGGAGAAATACTAAAACCATAAAGAACTTTAAATATTTTATTTTTTAAAAAATGTATTCTATTTACACTCTGCAAGTAAAAATCTGTATACAGTTAAAAAAGAATCATGTACAGTATGGCTTCATACATGAAAAAGTTAACTTCAAGTAGCCACTTATGGAGCATTGCAAGGATATGATGCATTCTGTCAGATCTCTCTATAAAAGGCTATTATCTGTGAGAAACCTATATTACTATGCCTTATGAGAATTAAAGTAGTGTGGTTGGAAGGCATGAAACCATGGCCTTTCATCAGTGGTAAATTCGCCCAGAAACTCTTCAGTTATTTATTAATCTGATTCTCTCAGAGCAAGACATATCTTCCATTTAAGTTGCGACTTAAATACCAGAACACTACTGTCCAATGGTCTGAGGTAAATGCTTTGCAAAGGATATTCCTTTATTGGAGGCAGCTGTACAAAAAGTTAGGTGTGTGAATTAAGACTATCAGTCACTTATTGCACCTTAAAGCTAGGCAGAGGTCTTTATGGTACTGGCATTTCCATTTTAAAACAGGAAAATGTATAATGTCCTAGTTTATACCACTTGCAGTTTATAAAGTGTTGCCTTATATATTTTAAGAAGAGTTTCTCTCCTGCTCCCCAAGCACCTGGAACAGCAAGCTTTAGTGCTGATTGAGCCTGGTGCCTGCCCTGGTGAAAAAACACTTGACTAAGGCAGTGGTGGGCAACCTGCGACCTGTCAGGGTAATCCACTGGCGGGCCGCGAAACAGTTTGTTTACATTACTGTCAGTGGTTTGCTGTTCCTGGCCAATGGGAGCTGTGGGAAGCCGCAGGGACACGCTGCTGCTTCCTGCAGCACCCATTGGCTGGGATTGGCAAATCACAGCCACTGGGAGCTGCGGGTGGCTATGTCTGCGGACAGTCAATGTAAACAAACTGTCTCGCGGCCTACCAGATGTCCACCACTGCTCTAAGGTCTGCCATTCACTAGATGTTAGCCCCTAGACAATCACTGTCTGAACTTCCACCTCTCCTTCCTGGGAGGCTATCACAAACTCTCCTACGTGCTCCATTATTTCAATATCCTCTGATGCAACCATTGTCACAGTTGCTTCTTCTGTCTCAATGCTACCCTCTGTTGTCAGCACAGCTCCTTCTCCAATAGCCGAAGCCAGTGTCATGGCAACCTGCTCTGTAAGACTTTCTGGTGTTGCTATGGTGATAGTGTCTGCAGTGTCAGTAGTTACTTCAGAGTTTTCTGCCACTGTAACGTTCTGCACAATGATCTGGTGGCCAGAGTTTGCTTGATTTACTATTTGCTGCACAACCTTCATAATGTGACTGTCAACCTAAGTTAAGAAAAAAGTTTATTAATAATCCAGACAATTCCTCTTATTCAGTGTATTGTGCTTACTGCTGCCCAGCTACAACTAACTGCAGCCTGGTAGCTTTTTAGTGAGGTAATACAAACAATTAAATAGGTTCAGATGAATTCAAATGTTTATTGAAGGTATGGCATCTTAGTGAGAGTGAGATAGCTGGAATACTTTACATCTCATCTCACTAGAGAACGGCTGGTATTTGAGGAAGAAACAGTTTGTATAATGAAGTCAAGACAAGTTTTTTTAAAAAACTGTTTAAAACTAGCATGAGGATATCACACATCCAGGTTCTCAAATACCAGAGTGATGGCCTCAGTGTAAGAACTTAAAGATGAACCATAATTTGTTACAATGTGTCCAGCAAGAGACTAGCCAGCCTCACTTTAGCTTTGCAGTTCCAACCAGGAAGTTGAACCAAACCTGAACACTGGTTCAGAGAGGTTTTTTTTGAATGAACTGAATCCAAAAAACCCCTGAACTGGTAACTTGTTCCAAACAGGTTGAGTAATCCAATGCTAAGGGACAACTCTGTAGTCTTTTGGGAGTGCTGAGGAAGGGTATGTCTCTCTGCTCCAACCTGGGGGGGCAGAGACACTACACTTCCAAGGAAGCCACTGGAAGAGGAGAATGGGAGAGAAGGTTTCAGGTATTGATAGGACTAATCAGGGGAAACTACTACAACTTCCAGAACACCTCGATCGCCTCCTGCTGAGTGCTTGTCCCTCCTATGCAAGTCAGCATAGAAAGGATGTTTTCTGGCCTGAAATTCACTTTGTACATGACATAAGAGCGGCCACACTGGGTCAGACCAAAGATCCATCTAGCCCAGTATCCTGACTTCCAACAGTGGCCAATGCCAGGTGCCCCAAAGGGAATGAACAGAACAGGGAATCAAGTAATCCATTCCCTGTCACTCATTCCCAGCTTCTGTCACCTTAACAGTCAATTATGACTGACAGAGGTCTGGAGGATGTTGTACTAGTGAATGCAAATAACTTGTAAATTTTTCTACAGTGAAAAATACTTCATTGTATTCTTTTGCTAGGAGTAACAGTGCAAGCATAAGTGTGAGACATTAACCTACAGGAAACGTAGCTGAACTGGTTACTGAACCATCATTTTAGATTCCAATTCAAATGCTAACTCAACCGCAGAGTTAAGAAATATTGATAATTCCAACCAGAATTGAATCAAATTAAACTCCTTCATTCCAACTATGATTTTTTTGGTTTTAGTACACTTGGTGAAATTAAGAGAACAGTAAGTTTCACAAAGATCTTATGGTGTTAATGTGAAGTCCTCACTTATTCAGTATGTACACTGGCTATAAAGCCCAGTCTGCAAAACTACATATTTGGGGGGGGGGGGAGCTAGCTGGGTTTTGGTATACTTAGTGTGGCTTTCAGGCACTGTATGTTCATCTTAACAGTGGGTAATGGACAACAAGATCCGAAAGGAGCATCATAATTGGCAGCCTACCTCGTGTCTTGTTCCCTCTATTATTTCAGTAGCTTCACTGGTCTCCATTTCTTCAGTAGCAGTCTGGAAAGAGACAAAGCAAAAGATTGCTAAAGAATGCTATAACTTTGCAACTGGAATGTGGGATCCTTCTCAACATTCTTCCTGTTCTCCCTCTGCTGCTATGACCTTTCTCAAGGAGGCAGCTGTATGTAGTTCCCTCCAGGCCTTATTAACACAAGTTTCTCAGAAGTGATGCAGGGTGCGCCCCTCTTAGAGGCACAGCATCCTTTCGCCATAGCACCCTGTGGACTGATGGACTCTTCTCCCCTATTTATTGCATTACAGGTGAGCAATGCACAGAACTGTGCAGTCATTTAGTTACAGCATGGTTTCAGTGGAACACAAGCCCTTCTTCCTATCTGCCCTTCCTTATCCACTTGTTACTAGCAGCCTGGGATAGTGGTTTATTACCTCAATGATGTATTCCTGAGTATCTGCCACCACTGAAGAAAATTCTACTAGAACAGTATGAGGATCTTCAGAAATAACTGTTGCCGCTAAGTTGTCAGCTGATTGACTTTCCTCAGAAACCATCACTTCTTCAACCTCTTTCAATGCAAGAAGGCAGCCACCTGAATGATATTTCAGGAATGTCAAGAGAATGTTAGTCTACTATGAAACAAGAGAAACAGGATTTTCACACCCAAAATCAAATGCTAGGTCCCACCTAATGACACGTTTTATGGGCTACTGCTAGGTGGAAGCTAGCAGCAGTTATGTAGTCTTTCTCCCTACCCCCACCAAACATTCTGGCCCAAATTTTAGGCTCCAAAGACATGCTACCTTGGAAACTAGAATCCAGCCTCAACAACTAATACAATGGAATTACTAGGACCATACAAGAGTTTGAGTGCTTAAATCAGATTGGACTTCAAAAGTCTTGCCCAATAAGAACAGAGGGGGCAAAAGCAGGCGGTACAGGGCGCTGGTAAGAAGTGGCCGCTGATGCTGGCCTGTACGCAGCCGACTATAAAGTGCTGCTGTGGCAGCGTTTTAACGTTGCTGCCCCTTTTGTCCATTTCCCCCTCCAAATCTGCAGCCCTGCCCCTAGGGACCCTGCAGGCAGGGCCCCCGATGGGGAGTGGGGGAAAGAGACAGTGATGTCTAAGGAGGGTACTTTGCCATGGCAGCACTGTGTAGTTGCCCCATTTACCCCCTGCCAGGTCACTGCCAACAGGGGGAAGGGGCAGCTGCCCCAGGGCTGGCCACTGAAACAGGCCTGGGGCTCCCAGCTGCTGCTGCTACCACAAGCGGAGGCCAGAACCCTGGGCCCTTTAATTCGCCACCGGAGTCCTGGGCAGCATGGGCCAGACAGTGTGGATGGGCTGGCTGGGGGAGGCTGACCCCCTAGCTGGGCCCCTGTACATGTAAATGCTTAATGTTACTTTCACCCCTGAGAATAGATCCCAAGATTCCTTGATATCCCTCATAAGCAGCCAGGCCCTTGTACCAGTATACAATTCAGCATATTTATGTTCCTAGCAAAGCTGTAACTATTCTCTAGAAGCATTATATGCCAACGTGATTTTAGAACATATTTAGTATATATAAGAAGAACAAGTAGTGTGACTCAATGGGTGCTGATCCAGTCAACCACGTAAATATTTGCAAGTGTTCTGAATATTATTATTTGCCCAGCAGACCATAGCAGCTTCAACTAGACACAGCACACCCCTTTATGGCATTTCACAGAAAAAGGTAGTAAGATAATGGGCAATTTCACTTGTCAAGAAACCAAAAACAAAATGTAGAGGTAGATTTCACGTTTAATTTTGCAGAACACAAAATGTAAGCAGCTGTTGGCACCTGGCACTTCTATTGTGTTTTAATCCCTTTGATGTTGGGAGACAGGTGAACTTGCATTAGTTTATGAAGACACCTGTTTCTTCTGGCCTCACCTGAAGCCTTGGAGAATGTAATAATTACAGGATAAAATAGCCAAATCCATATTGTGAGATTCAGAGTGGAAGCTGTGCGGAAGAGAGGATCTCTCCCCTTTCAAATGCTGCATTTACGGATCATGGAAGCTAGAGTTTGAAACACAGATAGCTCAGTGTTTTTGCCTCTGTCAGACTTAACACAATGAATTTGATTTCACCGATTTCCACTTTTAGTTACTGTTGTACTAGATGAATGGACCAGTTGTTACCCATAAACCAGTTCTCTTACTGATCAGGGTTGCTTTTGGGTGGAAGGGTGAATGTAGAAGGGCTTTATTTAGTAGTTTAAAGAATAAATGTTGCACCTTTTGATGCCACTCAACAGCAGGTAAACAATCAACAGCTTATAGGAAAGGTAGCTAGAGCCCATTCAAACAAGACTGGTCTATCAGCCACTGAATTAGTGTCACTTGAGCAGGCCTTGTCGTCACATTAATCAGAGAGGTTTACTGTTACATGGAGTCATACAAAATGATCACTAAGATTCAGCCATAGCAGGGCAGGTGGCCCAAATCAAGCCACAAGAGAATCCCACCATAGACAGATGACTCCCTATCTCACCTTTGGTTTTTAAGTGCCTGTTAAGAGTACCATGCTCTGCGAACCCACGTCCACACTTGTAACATTTGTATGGCTTTTCGCCTGTGTGGTGACGGATGTGACGAACCAACGAGCCCTTCTCCCGAAAGCCCCGGTTGCAGAACTGGCAAGTGTAGGGCTTCTCTTCCAAGTGAGTGCGGAAATGAACCTGCTGGGCATTCTGCAGCATAAAGTGGATACGATGGAAGAGTGACTGATAGGAACAAACCACTTAAACAGCCTCTTACAAGGAGTATTCTAGTTCTGACTTTGGAACAGACACCCCTTTGAGGTTTTCCTCTCTGCCAAGGCAGGAATATGCCTCTGCCACAGGTACGACACATATTATTCTTGAATGAGGAAACAGCTCCCACTATTTCTCTACTGAGAGATGAACTGCAAGGCCATTGTATCTAATAGTAGAGTCCAGGATCCTTTAGTTCTCCTGGAACAGCTGAAGATCGCTAACTAAAATAAAACAGACAAAAACTGCATTCCCTCCACTGCATTAGGAGTCAATTACAGAATGTCTATAAGGAGGCTGACATTGGTCCAGTGTGCTAACCGCAGCCTATACCTAGCACTTCAGAGGTAACTGCATCGTACTGTTTCTGAAGGCAAACTTCATTCCCCAGAGGTGATTAACTTATGCTTGTACATAGCAACTGATCTCTTAACTAATCTTAACTAACTCTTAACTGGCAAAGAAAAAAAGTCAGTTCACATAGCAAGTCATTTTTTTCTAACAAATCTGCTATTTGCCGTACCAATCCCCTGCAGCACAGGCTGTCCATCCAGAACAGGAGGGAATTTTCTCCAAAACTTGTTTGATTCTTACCCCTCACTTTAAGTCCCTCATTCTTGGATCTCAAAACAATTTAAAACTTTTTTTAAAGCGTTTCAGTTCTCTGTTAGACAAAGCCTGTTAACTTTCCACAGAGCATGACTTTGGGGAGCAAAGATCTGCAGACAAGAGTGTTTTGGAAAGAGGCACCTACCTTTGTTTTGTATCTCTTGCCACACTTTGGACAGGAATATGGCCGCTCATCTGAGTGCACCCTCTTGTGTCCCTTCACATGCGCGATGGTCTTGTAGAGCTTGCCACACTCACCACAACGGAAGCGCCGCTCATTGACATGCACTTCTTGGTGCTTTTTCAACAGGTAGCCTTTCATGAACTCCTTACCACACTCCTCGCATTTAAACACTTTGTAACCTAAAGGGAGACGCACCTTAGACCACAAGCAACAGCAGCACAAGGGAATTCTGAAATCGTTACTGCACCAAAGTAATAACGTGGTTATAGCATGTCTGACCAGAAGGACTAGATGGCACAGGGGAGTTAATGTAAGATGATGGGGTGCTTCTCCCCTTCAGAGCCCTGGTTCAAATCAAGATCAGGTTGATAATGGTTCCGTTGGTACTATCTAATGGCTATTTTGTGTCTTACATGAAGCAGATCTGGTCTCAAACCAGTTCCCAGTATTTTTGCCCACATCAGAGATCACCCAGTTCGCACTCGTCAGCAGTATCAGAGCCAAGAAGACTGAAGTCCATCTGTCCCTGCATTTTAATAGCGCTCCCTCCACAGCAAGGCAATGTGCATGCATGTAGCGGGAACATTTGTCCTGCTGCTAACTGTGCCGTACCTTTTATGTGGCTAAAATGAAAGACTTTCTGCAGAAGGCCATTCTTGTACCCGCCTTGGAGTGCAGTGGGCAAGAGGGGGAATGATTTTTCCATAAGCATTAACAATGGATAATAAATATGGGGTCTTCTCCATTCTCTTAATTCTAGTAGCTGCCTATTCATTACAGGATACAGCTCAAAAATTGTACTTGTTTGCTTTTAAAGCAAGTCAAGGAGCTGTTCCAGCCACTCACAGATCTGGTCTCTCGTCAATCTTTTCCCTGTTCATCTAGAATCCAGCTCTCATGTTCCTTACACTAGTGGGGGGAAGTTTGTGTGGAAGAGCCGTCACCTCTGCACCTCCTGAAATATGGAGCTGCTTTTGCATTTTTTAACCTAGACTTTACATCACTTTCAGATCTCAGGGGAAGTCTCTTCTCAATTGTTCTGACCTCCATTTCTCCATTAGTGTTTTAAACGCTAATTGAATCTGCATGCAGTTGTGGGATAAAGTTTGCACAACAAATGCTATACAAACCGTTCAGATATGTACATTTGAGAGAACAGCATTTGCAGTAGGCTTACCTAGATGTCCTTTGATGTGTATTTCAAGGGAAACAGACCCACTGAAGACTTCACTACAGTGAGGGCAAACATAACTTTTGTATCCGTTTGTTTCTGTATCGGTCTATTGAAATTAAATATCATAATATAAGTGCCTTTTCCATACATTATGTGGAATCAATATTCCTAATCAAAATTCTAAGCTAAATGCCCTTTGATTTAAAGAAAAATCAAGTTATCAAAGAAGCAGATGGTGCTAACACTGCAAGTTCTAACGCACAAAAAATATTACACTCTGCTGGTCACTATGCTGATACATAGTGCATAAATATTAAAAGTGTAGATACAATGAAGCTAATGCCTAAGGTGCTCACATGGGCTGTTAGGAATCACATGTATTTCCTGTAGAAAAGAAAACAAGCTAATTGATAAAAGCACATGATGCAAACATACAGTCTCTACTTGCTCTACTTCAACACACTGTTCCCCACACTGCTCTTCTTCTGCTTCCATCTCTTCATTTTCTAGTTCTTCTGTAGCAGCCACACCAGGTTCATCTGATTTTTGCATCTCCTCCACAGTAACTTTTTCTATCACAATCCCAGAATTCCTCATGGCCTGCCTCAGCAAGTTCTCATTGTTCACTTCCCATTCACATGGTAGTTCCTCAGGATTTGATGGCTAAAGAAAATAAAATACTCAGATGATAAGAACAGCAGATGTGAAGTCAGCCTTTTAGACAAAAGAACTCTGGGTATTCCAGTGCTTGTCACCAGGGTGACCGGTTCTGTGATCTCAGATACCAGAAAGCAAAAGAGATGTGTCTGCTTTGGAGAAGTCCGAGAGCTTGAGAAACTCCAGTTGAAAGGATACTTTCCAGCCTTTCACTTGGAGTCTAACCTCAGGGAGTGGCCATAAAATATGGCCATTTTAGGTCACCCAAGTAGTATACCAGACATCACTGATCCCATACAGATACATGACAGATCACTTTTTTGATTTTATAATAGAGACTGTAAACTCCACGACCAGATGCTCTAGTATGGTCTTTTCAGGTAACCTACACAGCCATTTTTTTCTCTCTGAACATGCAGGCTGTTTTCCTATATCGGGGGTAAGCAACCTACGGCGAGCTGATTTTCAATGGTACTCACACTGCCCGGGTCCTGGCCGCCAGTCCAGGGGGCTCTGCATTTTAATTTAATTTTAAATGAAGCTTCTTAAACATTTTCAAAACCTTATATACTTTAAATACAACAATAGTTTAGTTGTATATTAAAGACTTATAGAAGGAGACCTTCTAAAAACGTTAAAAATGTATTACTGGCACGCAAAACCTTAAATTAGAGTGAATAAATGAAGACTTGGCACCACTTCTGAAAGGCTGCCGACCCCTTTCCTATATGCTTTTGAGATCAGTTTCACAGCATGAGCAGGAAAAGCATCCTTACCCTTATTTACACCTGGCTTATTAGCTTCTTTTAAGTTTCATATTCACATCAGTTAAGATGTTAGTAAATAAGACATTAGTAGCACCACAGACTTTTGTTTCTCCCCAAGCAAGAGGTTATATTGACAACCAGATGCCCTACCACTCTCAGGTCCTATAAAGCAGTGGTCTCCAAAGTGGGGTGCGCGCAGCAGGAGGAGCACCACCGAAGGAGCGCTGCTGGCACGGCAGCAGCTCGGCTCTCCCCGCTCTGTCTTCGGCGGCACACTGGCGGGGGCTTTTTTTTTTTTTTTGCACATCCCTAGAGCTAGCCCTGGGGAGATGCACGATCCAAAAAGTTGGAGACCACTGCTATAAAGAACCAGTCAGCAGCATGAGCTATGTCATTATTTTCAAAGGAGTTCAGAATATTTGCCATCTAGTGTTGGAACTGAAGTTCTACAGGAAAGGAAGCTACTGAACATAACAGAATTAAAATTAGCCTATACAAGCCCTGTGCGGACCTTCCTGAGTAAGTCCTCTTTAGATTCCTCTCCTTTTGAGTGTGTCCTTGGAACTGATGGGAAGGTGAATTTATGTGAGTAATGCTACCTTCCAACTCAAGAGCCCTGGCCAAGGAATAGCAATTCTGCTTCTTTGCATAAAATATGCGAAGGGTATCCAACAAAAACAAACACTCACCTCTTGATCCAAGGATTTTGCATCAACAACAGGAAGCTCCTGCATTTGGACATGGACTTCATGAAGGACATTGCCTTTTGCATCTGTTAATAGGTGAATCACAGGAGTCTCAATGGATTCACTTGCTATGGGTGAAACCGTCTCTGTGTTTGAACTACAGGATTCTTCAAGAAAAGAAGCACAGGATTAAACAACCACTCTAATTCTGAGTGTGAAGCTAAACCCTATTTACAGCCACTTGACCTAATTCTACTTCAGTGTATCTTACTCAGTGTATCTAGAAATATTAACCTCTGGCTGAAGGACTGCTTTTTTGCATTTACCCTGTATAATCCTTTTCAAGCATTGTTCCATACAATGAAATACAGCATTTTGCAGATGGATACATTTCAACACGGATTTCCATGTCAATTTTGTGATTATAATGGTCTTAGTGCCAGATTCTCAAATAAATCTTCCAATCTATGATCCGTATTTATTCATCCATGGTACGACTCTGTCCATGTGCACTCTGGATTGATAGGTTCGCTACCTGTCCAGAGGTAGTTGTTTCTTTCTAAAAAAATGGGAGCCAGATTGCCTGCCCACCCCCGTCCCCAACGTGCACACAAAATATAAAAAAAAAAAATGAAGGAAAATAATGTTATTTGAATGCCAGGAATGTCACGTGACCTACACTTTGTTTGATGCAGGACATGCATTTGCTATTTCACTGACCTGTTGGCAGGTCATCTTTGCTAACAACTATTTCTTTGCTCACGTTGAAACGGATTTTTTCGGTGCAAGGTGTCAAAGATTTCAGATGCCGTGTCAAAGCTCCTGATTCCCTGAAGCTTTTCCCACACTTCTTGCATTTGTAAGGTCGCTCATCTTGACAAAGTAAGAGAAAGCATGAATCATTACCAAATAAATTTTATTAACTCCATCCAAGAATTTTCACTTGATCAAACATACGTCTAATACAGCATTTCCCAACCTTTTGGGGCAAGTGTAGTTGCCTGTGCCCACTACCTTCCATCCAATTACATGCACTATCTGCAATGGCAAGAGTTTTTAAAACTGGGCTTCTGAGTAGCCCCAACACCATGGGATTTAGACTGCACTCAGCTCAATGCAAGGTGGAAAACAGTGGAGTATTTCAGCTCATCATTTAAGGCAAGATGGAGGAGCCAAGTACAGCCCAGTCCAACAATTAGGAACCACTATACTAAAACAGACAGTATCTTACCTGTGTGACGCCGGTGGTGTCGAATGAGAGACCCCTTTGTCCTAAATGATGTTCCACATAATTTACATTCATAGTCCTTCCTGCTACTATGAGTGATCATATGAGCTTTAAGGATACTGGCCTAGAAAATGAGTTGATTTTAAAAAAATGGGTAGCAATGCTCCTTTATTAGTTGTTTTACATTTGAACAAATCAAAGACATTCAAGAACACTCACACTACTAATAAAAAATGCAACTGCAGAACTGCTAGAATGTTGAGAAAAAACACAAAGTTCCAGCCATTACCAGGATTAAAGAAGTGCTTGTATCATTAAATTTACAAGTGAAGATAATGGACATTTTGGAATGCAGCCTAATGCAAAACTACATCAGTTATATAAGCCTTCCTGCTTCAGGGCTTAAGCCAATTACTACAGTTAAGAAGCAGCTTCACCTGCAGATTATTCCATGATTGTCCATTATAGAGGTTTCACACTTTCCTCACTGGCCACTATCAGAGACAGTGTAGTAGACAAAGATAATGGTCCACTGTGTGATCTAGTATGGCAATTCCTTTGTAGACAGTAATTAAAGCTTTATCATGAATGTCAAATTTGACTGACTGGCACTAGTTTTGAAAGGAGGTCAATCTCCAAATAAGATTATGTAGTAGGAAATGAGTTTTCTATCAAGTCTGAAGAGATCATGATGCACAACTGTCCTAAAAGATTTGAGCATATGAACATTACAAAAGTAGACTGTAAAGCTACTAGCTCCATAACTTACTGTTTTAAACGTCTTGTGGCATAACTCACACACATATCGACCTTCTTTATTAACCAGCAGCTTAACCCTGATCAGCTCTGTGGAGCCATCTTGTTCCAGGTCATCGGGGCTGCCCTGCCCTTCAGTGATCTCACCATCAATCTGGCCATTTGGGTTTTCAAAAACATGTTCTCCTGTGACAATGACTTCTTTGATGTGCCCACTACCTGGGAAAATGATATGAAGACAGCTACGTTCTTTACATAACAGGTTCACGTGACTCAATGGATTCAATCTTTTAGGATATCAAGTAGTGGAAAGAAAAGAGAAGCAGGTGACTACACACGAATGGTATATGCCAGAGTCAATATTGACTGATTATGGAACTCTTTATTGCGTTTTCAAAGTCATTCTAAAAGGTGTTAGAGCTCAGGATGGATGTTCTTTGAAGTGGAGTTTTAAATCTGAGTATATTTATTGTGTATTTTACTTAAGTTAGAGTTGGAAAGGTGCCTTGCAGGATTTCCATTCATCGTGGTAGCTGCAGAGATTTAGTATGCTACCTCCTTAGTTCTACCAACCCCAAAGCTCAGGAGCCGCACACAGATTCCTATGTGACAGTTTAACACATTGTCTCAACCACCAGACTAGTCAACAAGGCCTTTTTTAATCAGAACTATGACAGGGATGTCATCTCACATAACCTTAGAGAGTAAATGCCACAATCATTTGAGTTGGAAGGGACCTGTAACTAAGTGGTCTGCAGCATGGATTTATTTTGTACAGAAAATAGGCAATACGGTGCAAGCCAAAATCAACTGCACTGCGGAGACACTAAAACAAAAAGTTGTACTTCTGCCAAACCGCATTAGACAGGGATGCAGTGATTATGGACCAAATGGAAAACTGACAGGGAAAGAGTCAAACTTTCTAACTGTGTACAGCTTCAACAGAAAAAAGTATTCTGTAATTACGTTTCTTCTAGAGGACCTATCAATTTACTAAAATGAATACATGCAGAAATGAATAATGGATGTAAGGTTTCAGAAACCTTAATGTCTTTATTTTAAGAAGAGAAAATATTTCCATTACTAATTATTATGGGCATTGATTAATAATTTAATGTGACTTCACTTGAACTAAAAATCTAAAATTCTATTGAGAAACCATCTTCAGTTGCAGAGTTAACATTGCCACACAAGGACCTACATACACAAAAGTTTATTTAATTACAATTTTTGCCTCCAGTTTAGAATTCACTCCAGAAGATCCAAGTTATTTCTAAAACAGTCAAGGTCACCCTTGTGATGTAATAGAGAACTCCTATCCACAAAACTTTCTTAGGAAGTGGCACAGCAATTTTCAGACCAGAAGATGTGTGTATTAAAGTTATAACTCCCTAAAAACTGGAATTTGCAAAAGAAGCCATTAACTGAAAACTAGTATATGTTTTCATTGCTTAAAAAAGCACCTAAAATCGGTTTCTCCCCATATACACAATGGAGTGAAGCTAAATCAACTCTGGCAGTATACAGTATTGACTATGAAATCAAATTCTTACAGACCTGGTGAGGGCACCACTCAAATTTACAATGCAACTCCATCGGACTAACCTTTAGAGTAAGGCAATAGACTAAATGATAACAGATTACTAAAGTAACATCTGTTACATAAAAACCTTGCAACTTACCTACTATAGAAGATGCATTACTGATTTCTTCTGCTATTGAAGATGCTTCAACAACTATATGAGCAACAGTTATGGACTCCTCAACAGAAGGAACAACCTGCTGTAACAGATAACGTTTTAGTAAGAAAAGTTAAAATCACATCTTACGTTCACTTATGATAGATTATTGTTCTAATTATTTTGAGACATGGCTGTCACCTTCTGTACTTCTTGGCTAGGAAGACTTGTTGATGGGGCAGTAATGGCTTCTTGAGTTCGCTGACAGATCTTTTGTAATTTGTGTTGTACAAATTCTTCCAAAGAGGTGAACTCAGAATGGCAACGACCACACTTGTGAACATCATCTTCATCTGCAATTTAATATGTAAGAAATTATTAGATTTGGAAGTTAACGTATACGATGTTTAAGACTGTATGACAACAGCCCTTTGCCATCCAGTCTACTAAATCTCCCACAATATGAAGAGAGAAAGTTGGAATTGGAGCGTGTAAGAATTAGGACTATTTCTACCCCATTAAATACATTTTTGCTCCTACAGCAGTATTTTCTTTCGGGGTCTGTAGAGGTTTGTGATGTTAATTTGCTTACAGGGCAACACTATGGCATTTATGCATCACAGGGACACGGGCTGGACAGGTCACAGCAACAAGATAAGGGGCTCCAAGTTTTTGAAGCCAAGTTACATAAACACTTTGTGCAGTCTTGCAAAAGGATCATGAACATTTACCAACACACAGAACAGAGCAGAGGATATTAAAAAAGAAATCTAGTGACATGTTCCTTGCCCCCCCCCCAAAAAAGTGGGGTTACTCATCCCAAGAGAGTGAAAATTTACAAAGCTGCCTTACTACATAGCCCATTACAGCATCTCCCTCAATCAGCACTAACCCTCACTATCTGCCTAAGAAACCTGGAAAGGGATAGGAAGCCTTAATCAGGAAATAAAACCAAAAAGAGACAGCCTTTGGAAGAGGACTTCTAGTGTCTAGAGAGCTGCTTTCTAGGAACATAACAACAGCCATACTGGATCAGACCTGAGATCCATCTACTTCAGTATCTCATCCCCAACTGTGGCCAGCATCAGATCCTTCAGAGGAAGGTGTAAGAACCCCCCCCCCACCCCACATTAGGTCTCAACTGGATTTCTACTAGTTAAGAGATTAGTTTACACGGTGAAGCATGAGGTTTAATATCCCTTCCAAATTTGTTGTTAGCATTAACTCACATAACTCTGGATACTGTCATTCATACAAATGTCCAGTCCTTTTTTTGGATCTTGCTAAATTCTTGGCCTCAACAATTTCCTGTTGCAATGAATATGCATTTCCTGAAAGATACCTCCTTTTTCAGTTTTGAATTAGCCATTTTTTAAAAATTTAATGGACTATTCTCTTGTTGTGTTGTATGACAGGGAGAACTGAAGCTCCCGATCTGCCCCACTAGAACATTTCTCATTTCATCAGGTCTCCTCTTATCTCCTTTCTAAGGGAAATTACCCCAAATTTTTTCCCCACGCTCTGCCAATGAGTTTCCCCAGGCGCCTAATCATTTCCATCACCCTTCCCTGCATCCCCTCTAATTCTGCAACATCCTCTTGGAGATGGGCGACCAGCACTGCAGGCGATGGTCCCCAGGAGACGCAACGCCGCAGCGGGGAAAGCTATTCCACTGGTCTTTGGCTTAGTCCCCATCCCAGGCCTTATGCCGCGTAACACCGTTTGCCTTTTTTTGGCCGCGCTGCCCACCGGGCAAAGGCCGCCTCCGCGCTGGTGACCCCCAGTCCCTCCCCTGGGGGGATACGGTGAATTCGGCCTCCGCCGCGCTCCCCTTTCCCGGGCACGGCTGTGCCTCCATCCGCAACGCGCTCCGCTTGCCCGCCTGCTGCCGGGGCCCCTCGCCGCCCTCTCCGGCGCCGGCGAACCGGCACAACCCGGGCTCCTCCGCAGACGGCGGTCCCTCGCGGCTCCCCGCTCGCCTGACCCGGCGGCAGGAGCACGGGGCGGGCGGGCGGGACGCGCGGGGAGGCGAGAGGCCGGGGCGGGCCAGGAGCGCTCTGGGGGCCCAGCGCTGACCGGGCCCCCGCCCCGCTGAGGGGCCCGGCGGGAGCCCCCCGCTGCTCCCGGTGGGCCCCCCCCCTCAGCAGGCCGCGCTCCGCTCAGGCCCCGGCCGGGGGAGCGGGCCCGCCCCAGGCCCGTTACCTTCCTCGCTGAAGGGCGCCGGGAGGCTGAGGACGGTGGCGGGGCCGGCGGGCGCCGGGGCCGGGCTGGAGGCAGCCGCCGCCGCCCCCTCCTGCTCCCCGGCCGCGGCTGCCGTAAGCCCCGCCGGCCCTGCGCTCGTTGCCATCACGGCCTCCATGTCGCAACGCGCCGCACCACCAAGATGGCGGCTTTACGGCCGTGTCGTCATAACAACGGGCCGCATGCGGCGGGGGGGGGCGGAGCAGGGGCGCGGCCGGCAGTGGGTGGGGCACCGAGGAGCCCCCGCGCAGGGGCCTCACTCTGACAACCACGCCTATGATCCCACCCTGACCCCTGACCTTCCGTGCCCTTCACGAACCTGAGCTCTCAGGTGACCAGTTACCGCCAGATGCTACTTGGGGGCGGGGCTCCCGGCTCGCTTAGCCAATGAGCTGAGAGGAGGGTGTGCGCCAAAACCGGTTGCCCAATGAGATGGTAGGGGCGGGGCTGAGGGTCCCCGCCCGACGGCCCCAAGGCTATGCATCCGTCACCCACTGGGCCACAGAGTGGGCGGGGCTCCGCGCCCGCTTCCCCCAACGAGCAACGGCGTGGGCGGGGCTCCCTTCCCCCATTTGGGGCGCGGGGCGGGGCGGCCGCCCACCTGCCCGCCGCCTGGGCGGGCTCCCGCGCCGAGCGAGCGAGCGAGCGAGCGCGCAGGCGCAGGCGGCCGGCGGAGCGGAGCGGGCCCTTCGGTCGCACCATGGCGCAGGGCTCGGCGCGCCGGTGCCTGCGGCTGGAGCCGGGCGCGGCCCGCGAGGTGCTGGGCGCGGCCGACACGCTGCTGTTCGACTGCGACGGCGTGCTGTGGCGGGGCGACGCGGCGGTGGCGGGCGCGCCGGCCGCGCTGAGCCGCCTGCAGGCCCGGGGCAAGCGCCTCTGCTACGTGACCAACAACAGCAGCCGCACGCGGGACGCCTACGCCGAGAAGCTGCGGCGCCTGGGCTTCCCGCCGGCCGAGCCCCGCCAGGTCTTCGGCTCGGCCCACTGCGCCGCCCGCTACCTCCGCCAGGCCCTGCCGCCCGGCGCCGCCGCCTACGTGCTGGGCGGCCCCGCCCTCGGCGCCGAGCTGCGGGCCGCCGGCGTCCCGCACCTGGGGCCCGGACCCGCCGGCCTGCCCGGCCCGGGCCCGGCCGACTGGGCCCGCGCGCCGCTGGACCCGGCCGTGCGCGCCGTGCTGGTGGGCTTCGACGAGCACTTCTGCTACGCCAAGCTGTGCCAGGCGCTGCGCTACCTGCAGCGGGGCGGCCCCGGCTGCCTGCTGCTGGGCACCAACCGCGACCACCGCCTGCCGCTGGAGGGCGGCGCCGCCATCCCCGGTGCGTGGCCGGACCCTGCCCCGCTCCCCCTGAGGCGGCGGGCGGGCGGGCGGGCGGGCCGCGATGGGGCCGCTCCCCGGGGCGGCCCGGCCCTGTCCTCGGCCTGCCGCCGCTGCCCTCCCGAGACCCCGCCCTGCGGGGCACCGCTGGCTTTTGCGTGCGCGTTTCCGCCTTACGGGGGGGGGCTGGAAATATCGCCAAAAGCGAGTCCCCTTCGGGGCCGAGCGCCACGTCGGCAGCCCCCTCGGCCGGGCAGCGCGCTGGTCTGTGGGGTCGCGGCTGCCCGCGCCCCCTCCGCAGCCCCCGCAGCCGGCTGGTGCCCTGGCACCGTGGGTCGCGGCTGTCACGCGGCTCCGTGCCCCGTCCGCAGCCCCCTTGGGCAGGCGATGGGCTTGCCCCCTTGGGTCGCGGCTGTCACACGGCTCTGTGCCCCATCCGCAGCCCCCTTGGGCAGGCGATGGGCTTGCCCCCTTGGGTCGCAGCTGTCACACGGCTCCGTGCCCTGTCCGCAGCCCCCTTGGGCAGGCGACGGGCTTGCCCCCTTGGGTCGCGGCTGTCACGCGGCTCCGTGCCCCGTCCGCAGCCCCCTTGGGCAGGCGACGGGCTTGCCCCCTTGGGTCGCGGCTGTCACGCGGCTCCGTGCCCCGTCCGCAGCCCCCTTGGGCAGGCGACGGGCTTGCCCCCTTGGGTCGCGGCTGTCACGCGGCTCCGTGCCCCGTCCGCAGCCCCCTTGGGCAGGCGATGGGCTTGCCCCCTTGGGTCGCGGCTGTCACGCGGCTCCGTGCCCCGTCCGCAGCCCCCTTGGGCAGGCAGTGTGGTGGTATCTGATGTCACATCTGTTACGGTTCTGTGCTCCATCCATAACCCCCTCGACCAGGTCATGTGCTGACGCGCAGAACTGTCACACAGCTCCATGGCACATCCAGCCTACTTCACTCCAACGCTGGAATGAGGAAAGGGCCATTCAGTTATTCTCCATGTTCTTCCCTCGGAGAACCCTTTGTGGCCACTACTTTAACTGTCCCTTTGCCCTGGCATCAGCTCCTTTGCTCTCCTGCCCATCCCTAAGTTATAGTGAATGAAAAGTGCTTTCCTGAACAGCATGCATCCTTTATTAGCATCCTGTAGCTTCTTATTTAGTTTCTTAACCCTTCTCTCTTTGTTGCAAGAGGTATGAATGTGATGGCAGTACCTACAGCTTTTATGACTTTATCCTTCATTTGAGTCTCCTCTACTGTATTTTGTTAGAGAATATGGGGGGGCACCTATGCTGCTTGTATATGGGCCTCTGGGTCCCACTATAAGTTTTGGAGACAGGTGTCTTTCCTGGGTACAGTCCACTGACCACAGCTGCGTAGAAACCAGCACTCTGATGCTGGGTGGTTGGGGACCATGCTGTCTCCTGGCGCCATGCTTCAGGGCTGCCCTGTTCCCTAGTGGAGCCTGGATTTGTTGGGGCCAGTGGTCCCTAGCAGGCTGATCTCTATGGTTGAACATACAGGTAGAAACTTCCCAATGGCAGTCTAAATCTGGAGTACTCTGGATTGTGAGAAGCTTGAGGGGTTTGACTATGGCTGAGCTGTGGCCTAAGTTCCCTCTAAGCTCCCAGCACGGGCCTGCCGTGGCGAGAGAGGGGTGAGGGGAGTCCTCTCTCCCCACCACAGCCCCAGGGCAGCCTGCACCCTGAACCCCTCATCCCCGGCCCCACCCCAGAGCCCGCAACCCCAGTCAGAGCCCTCACACACACACCCGCACCCCTGCCCCAGCCTCCCGCACTCCGAGCCCCTCGCCCCCCACCCCTCCCACGTGAATTTTATTATGTGCACCAGTATGAAGGTGATGTGTCACACATCACTTCCATATTGGTGCACATACCAAAATTCATTCCGCACATGGATGTAAAAAATTTGAGGGAACACTGCCTTTGGCCCCCATTTTACCTGTTCAGTCACAGAACTGGATTTTCTAGAAAAACCTGTACTCTAAACCCTCTTCTGTTGCAGTAATATGCAAGCACCCCACCCTTTGCAACCGACTGGGAATCTGGTGGAATGCAGGCACAGCAGTGAGGTCTATATGGCAGCAATCACTCTGCATGGCTTTGCTGGCAGGGTAGCTCAGCAACCCTCTCTTAGTTATTGCGAATTACAGTATTTTACAAAATGAGAGGAAGGGATTGGACTTCCCACTCTGCCTTAATCTGCACCAGGCAAGCTGCCTCTTGCCCATTATTAGGTCTTTAATACTGTGGGGTTACACTTCTGAAATACCATGCAGTGCAGCACTGACTCATCTGGGTAGCACAAGTCCTTGCCTATATTTCACTTAGCTTTTCTCTTCTGCCTTCAGGGACTGGCTGTCTTGTGAAAGCAGTGGAGATGGCAGCAGAACGTGAGGCATTCATCATAGGCAAGCCCAGCCGATACATTTTCGACTGTGTCTCTAGTGAGTTCAAGATCGAACCTGCTCGTACCATCATGGTGGGAGATCGACTGGACACAGACATCCTTATGGGCAATAACTGCGGCCTCACCACCCTCTTGACTCTCACTGGAGTCACTACTCTGGAAGAAGTAAAAGGTCACCAGGAGAGTGACTGCCCTTCCAGGAAAAGCCTGGTTCCTGATTACTATGTTGATAGCATAGCTGACCTTCTTCCTGCACTTGAGGATTAAAATAGCAAAAATCTCTCCAACTCCTGAAACGGTACCCATGTTAGTGAAGGGCAGTAGTTAATATCACCTCTGATTACTTTAACACACACAGTGTGACACCACTTGCAATTGCAAACTGTTAGCTTTTAACCTTCAATTTGAGTCCTACGATAATTTTGTTTACAAATCTTATTTTCAAAATGCACTTTGAAATGAAGAGGGCATTATAGTGTCACCCAGTCTTGTGTTTTTTAAAGTCGACAAGTACATCCAAATGTTTGCAATATTAGGTGTCAGGGTATTGTTTTTCTGGACTGGGTTAAGGAAAATAGAATAGATTTAAAAAAACAAACCAACCTTGCAGTATGTTTTGATGGACAAACCATAGCTCAGACTTGATTATTCAGGGAATTAACTCTTTGGGTATATAGCTGTCCAATGGCTCTCTTCTCCTATGCTTGCACAGGCTGCTTCAGTTAGAATTTGGTCCCATGCTGGGTTCTTGATGCTTACTCAGGTCCTGTTCTAGACATGCATCCTGTTGCAGGTGTAACTTGAAGGGAGAGCTGTTCAAATATCTGTCCTGTATTTGATCGTATAAATTGCAGTTGTGATGCAAACTAGACTGGTTCTACATGCAAAGGATATTAATGGTATCTTCTCTATGTTGTATTTGTCCAAATATTGGATGTATATGTAAAGTATGTGTGGTATATAAAGTAATTACCCTGATTGACACTAAAATATATATCAGAAATGTATTTAAAGTATACATTAAACATAATATATTGAGAATGTATCTTGTTTCCCAAAAGGAAGGATATTGAGGAATTTTCTTCACTCTTTATTAAGGATTAATGTTTAAAGGCACTTGCATCTTAATGAGATAATGCAGTAAGTGTAATCACAGAGAACTGTCCTA